GTACACCCATCCACCAAAGCTCGCATCGCTCCATCTCCTCCCCGTCTCCACACGCCAGCTCGTTCCCTCTCGCTCGTCCTCTCACCGTCCATTCCTCTCCTAGCTCGCTGTACTCGTCACTGACATCGCACCATACGCCCATAACGTCGATTTTTACTCCGCACTTATACACAGCGAGCCTGCAAGCCCCTATCCCTGCGCTCTAACCCCCTCCCTCTCGTTCATGCTCGCTATCCGGAATCCCCTTCTCCCCACTCTGGGACTCTAAAAAAAGGTCCCTCTTACACAATAACTCGGGTGCGAGCGGATACTATTGTGGGTCGTCTACTAAGCCATCAAACCCAGACCAATACCTGAATATAGTGCCTTCAGCATCTGGGTTGGACGCTCTTACAACCTGAGTTCTCGACTCGCCTTACCCAGACCGGGTCCTCCACACCTTGATCACCTCTATGTGTGAGTCGCTGGTAGACTCTTATATTTGGCAATCCGTCTTCCCTTGCCTCGTAATGCATCGTCCTTACAGCTAACCTAACTAGTTCGGGCCAACGTCCGTCCAGGATCCAACTTTGATCCAGATCAGCCCTCGAAGTTCTATGCCTTGCGCTTATTGCATTCTATGCAAGCTACCATCCATTCCGCTTCACTCATCACCTCGACATCCACTTGAGTTCTCGGCACGCCCTGGCCACACGGACATATATATCTTCATCCCGACTCCCCGAGGTGAGGCGATCATCTCCGGTCCCAGAGAGTTTCACATCAACCGATTTTCCACCTATGACGACTAGTACCGCACACATGGATATGAACTCTGCAGTTACTTCCCTGGGCCAACTTGATGCCCAATATATGTATGCACATGCTGGCCACTCGTACGCAGAGACGTCGACATCGTCCGAGACGACTAGTCCTGTGATGACTTCGGTAAGGACAGGGCTCTTCGAGGCATCATCCTTGAAGTATATATATCTTTAGCGCTCATCTCTAACGGACATCTCTCTTTACAGTTCGATCTTTCCATCATCTCGGAATTTAACCCAGTGTCATCCCACATATATCCAAGTCCAGTATCTTCACGGGAGACAGCATCACCTCGGCCAGCGATCAAGGTGGAAGACGTCCATAATGACATCCTAACGCCTACAAAGTCGGATCCTAGCTCAAAGGTTACGAAGCCCGCGCCGAAGCGGAAGCGAGAGAATAGATACAAGAACGCCCCTCCTTCAGTGCTATCGGTAGGCCCACCCCTGCGTTTCTCGCCCGGAGTCAGGGGTTCCAATATCTAACGTCGAATTAGAGGCGCCGAGCTCAGAACAGAGCGTCCCAAAGGGCCTACAGAGAGAGAAAGGACCAACGCATTAGGGACCTAGAGGCAATGCTCGAAGAGTACAAGCACAAGCACGAGGTCTTATTCCAAGCCTACTCGGCCCTTCAGGTTGAATTTACCAACCTGCGGAACTGCCACCCAGGCTTGCAAACTCAACATGACCTGATTGTCGGCGTCCCATTCAGCCCATCCCCAATGTGTCCTACTTCGCCCACTGTCGCCACTATTCAAACGATAGACAGCTGGCATTACTTTCCCTCCATGACAGGATACCCGATATGAGGAGCAGGAAATAGCTCTTGTTTTGAGGAAGCAGAACTTTGACGTCGAGAGGGTGTGGGAGGACTCCCACACTACCGCCGACTCCATTCCAGGCTCTGGTCCAGGTCTGAGGCCGAGAAGCCCAGGACCACCTTGCTCTACGTGCAGACTTGTTCTCGGTGCCTGAGAGAAAAGCAGGTTTGAAATTAGCCTCCAACTTTCAACAACCTAAGAGGACAAAGTAGCCGTCGAAAGGAAAGCACCTGTGACGTTTCGCGCACTCTCCTCTCATCCCCGTGGCCTGCCGCGTCCTACAAAAACAACTATAGAGAGCGTGCTACATCCTGAGCGATAACCCCCTTTCATAATCACCTCCTAGCTTCAATTCCATCCCTCTACTTTCTGCCGGTGAGGAAAGCCCCACTCACTCCCCTAGTGCTCCGGGGATGACGGTACAGGAAGCCCTTGAGCCAGGGTGGCAAATATGGACGGGATTGGCTCATGTTAAAGAAGGCAGGGACGAGCCGCTTCTCTAACTTGTCTGGAACAACTGCATTAACTCCTTGGCTTCGATTGAAGAAATATATTTTGTGCACTTGCGAGACCCAAATGTTGGCTTATCAATGATTGGATTTTGTTATTGCGATATCTGGCAGGTTTCTTGCTGGTTGTGTATCGTGTTTGAGGTTTGGCGACAGTTGCTAATAGAATACAAATATGAAAATATGATCTCTTAAACAAAGCTTTGATCAGAGGAGTGCCAGAGGAAGCGAGGATCTGATGTTGTGAGTGCCTCTAGCTGACTATAAAATATGAGTCAATCGCGATGTATTTGGTCTGGAGAAGATCCACAAAGACATCAATTCGATCTTCATGATAAAACTGTGGTCGAGATAAACTTGACCCACTGGGATATATCTAGCTCAAGAAAGATAAGGCTAAGATGACGCGACGACTGACGGACGTTTGGGCCCAGATTGCGAATTGGTCCCGCAGGCTCTGGGTCTCTCTCCCGATTTGATTCGATAGCGATAGCAAGCTGGTGTTCTTGAGTCACAAATACTCGGCGTCCGGAACCGGCGACTTCGGAGACTAGGCCGGAGGGGCCGGGAAGACACGGTTATTAGCCACGAGGAGGGCTGAAGCCACTACAATATGCGCAGAATTGAACTTGATAATGTGATTGATAGTAACCCTTCCAAGTTCTCACTTGATGAGAGGACTGATTAAGATATCTGTCCGATCTGAGACAATTCGGAGATAGTTTGAGACCCCGCAAATGAGAATGCGGCTTTGAGATCGGCGGCGGGGAGGAAGTCGGGGCCCGATAAGCTTTCTTCGGATCCACGAGTTCGGACTAAACCCCGCTTCCTAGATTACTTTGCAAGTAGTGAGATCACACGGACTACTATTGTTCCTAACACAGTCCCTCACACTCGTCATCAGAGGGGTCAAGACAGTTCCTGAAGCTTAACTAGGATTCCCCAGTCGTCCTTGTGACTAAATATCTCCGGGGACCCGATGAGCAGGAAGCTTGGGCCAGCCATTGAGTTGTTGGGATTGGCCCTCGTGACAGTTTTTGTTTCCCTCCCCCTGTCCGCGGACCATAGTTTAAGTGACAACGATTTCTATGAACATCTCCAGGATTCTGCTAGTTAGTAAGGGGGAAGATGGGTTCGCAGCCTTGGCTCCCATCAACCCTCGTCGTCATAGAACAGTCTCTCGTGACTTCAAAGAGGACGAGCGCAGGCTCCAGCGCAGATTCCTGGATCCATCGAGCATCAATTGAGCTCATGCGCTCACTTGAATGGAACCGTCGTTACCCCACAATTAGAGGGTATTTGAGGCTGGGTTGCGACTGCCTGGATACACTAGCAACACCACCAAATTCCCGCTAACATGGTGTGCGTCATTTGATGGGGGGCGTGAGGCCCTGAAACAGATTCGTCCATCGTCTTAAACCTTGCCTGAACCACTTCGGCGAGCTGCAGGAGGCGATCCTGGAGCTGCAAGCTTGATGCAGCAGAGGAAAGCTCCCCGGTGTTATCAAGCACGTGCTGGATGGCTGAGAAGCCAGTTTGTTTGGTCAATTGTGTATTGTACTTGGATGGAGCTCTATTTGGAAGGTTGCTAAGGGATCACTGATATGCTGGAATGAGCAATGTGAACGATCAATTGATTGCTCATGATGCCAATTTAGCGCTTTCTTCAGAATGAGGTCTTCAACAGTGTAAGGTTCGATGGTTGCGTGGAACTGGTCTGGTGCTTTGCTCAGCAAGGCAGGATCAATTGGATTGACCACGGTGTCCACAGAAGGTGGCGGGGATGCGGGGAATCAATTGGAACATTGAATTGTCAAAACAAACTCCAAGGACGCCAGCACTTCTCGAGCTGATTGAGGCAACTAACATTGAACAATTGAGGACTTGGTTGAGGCCTTTGCCACCCCCTCTGTAACAGAAATCTCTTGGAGGTTGGCTGTGATCAACTGGAATCCAATGGAACAAGAAACTTCTTCAGACGTGGTTCTGGTCATTTCTATTGACGAAGTCAGAGACTATACTGCGTCGTAGATCCTTGCCTTACAGGGGAACCAATTGGTTTCTTGGAAGGATGCCGCAATGTTATTGTGATCAAGTGCCCCCTTTTCTGCAATTGATCGAAGGGGTTAATCAACTAAACTACGGGGTACTTCGTAATAATTGATGGTTTACGACATCCCATGGGCCCCCAATCAGGAGCGCTGTCCTGTCCTGTCCCAACAGCGGCGGTCTCCGATCATGACTCATGGTCCTCGACACACTGTAGATAGTACCACAACTGGCGATAGGGAGATGATCGCCTGCTGTTTCCATCGGTATTATTATCAATCTTCAATTGAAGTTTTTGAAGTCTTGCTCCTTCTTAGCATCATAGATCACTAATCCCGGGATTCATCAATCAATTGATCACTGTTGCAGGGTCCCATCGCCACGCATTCTCATCAACAACGCACCAGCCCAGGTTGATCTTAGTACGCATTTGGCGAGCAGCTTCTAATTCGACAATTGACGACAACGGGCTCCAGGGTGTGTTCCTTGGCTTGGGGGACCAGTGTGTGTGATTCCAGGAAATGTGAGACAGCACAGTGGAAGAAGCGTTTTGGTCACGCGAGCCGAAGCCTCAACTTGCAAGGCAGTACAAAGGTAGCTAAACCGTACTTCGCAGAGTACTTCGTAGTGGTACTTGATGCCTTTCCAGGAAAGTGAGCTCTTGCTTCACAGACCTGGTGGTAAGAGGACCAAGATTGAGCCCACTCGGGTGCTGTTGAGATTGCCTGTCGTATCATCACCCGGTGCCCCGCCTCTCGGGTTTGGAGCCGCCCGTCCATTCACCGGGGGAGTGCAATTGGAACTGCACCAAAGTTCAAATGATTCTGCGTCGTTCTCTGGCGTTTGAAGAGTCATTGCTGCATTTGTATCCCTAGTACCGTGCGTGTACTTTGCCGATGGCACACGAGCTCAGCATACAGTGCTAGCAAAGGTACCAGGTCCATTTGCTAGATGCCTGTCTTTCTCGGGTACCGGCGCGCTAACAGGCTGCAAGAGGTCAACTGGCTGGGGGTATCTCAGGCCCCTCTGCTGCTGGTTTTAGCCTCCTTTACCCCCATCGTCCCTTGGTACTGTACCTACCACGACGTACTCCTCGTAGTCTAAACTTTGACCACATTTGAGATGATGATACCCCTTGTTGGCCCTTTTCACTGACGTGACTTGAAGTCACCCAGAGTCACCTGGTCCCTGAGGCTGTACTGCGACTTCTCTCGGGTGTCGGGGGGTGGAGAGTGGAAAGCTAATACTTCGTAATGCCGTGCCATTCCCATACCAACCCACAGTGACGTGATACGATAGGCTGTCCCGCCGAACCACCTCAGTCGAGCTTCGTCCATCACTCATAAATAAGGAAGTCCTCCCGCTCAGAAGACTCTTCTTTCCATCTCCTCCTCATCATATCGAATTCAGAAATCAATCGAAAAACATCAGAAAGTTTTATTGTCTTTTGTGTCATAAAACAGTCCATCTCTAATCTTCATCTACAATCCCTTTATAACACTTTGACGTCTTGTCAGTCCTTACTTGACAACAACCATCAACACACTCTCTCACGAACAACTACGATTCTACAACAGTCCCTTCCCGTGTTATATTTAAACTCAAAATCATTTCAAAAGTGAGTATCGGCAAGATCTCAGAGCTCTGTTACCCCTCCTACAACCTGGTCACTCCGTGTGTTGGTGTAATCTTACACAGGCCAACCCCGCTCCCTCCCCCCTTGTCATCATCAACACGCCCCCCCGTGCTACACTTTGAGCATGGACTAACATGTCAACGCTCTAGTGACCCGAACTCGCAAGCTCAACACTCCCGACTACTCTGCCATTTCCGACGGCAAGCCTCGCCAGGAATTCATTCCCAAGTACTTTGGCAAGTCCGGATTCTCTGATCAGGATCCGAAGAAGACCAAGAAGAACGGCGGAGGCAGAGGCAACTGGTAAGGCTTACCCTTAATAGACAACTATGATGCTTTCATAGAGCAAGGGGACTAACTTGACTTAGGGGCAACGTCGGTGACGAAGTCCTCGATGACGAGTTCAACTTTAACAAGCCTCGTCGGAGGTCCAACAGCAGCTCGGTCTCTTCTCAGCTGCGGGACTTCAAGACCAAGTTTGATGTCAACGAGACGGAGCCCGTCTTCGAAGAGTCATTCAACGAGGCTGAAGAGGAAGATGAGGAGGGCTCCGGCCCTTCGGAGAGTGGCAACAGTGTCAACTAGATGACGAATTCCTGGGTTGCTCGTGAGGGCAGCCCGGTCTTAGTCGTTTAGATGAAGCCATTCTCCCGTTCCTTCATTCCCCAACATAAGAAGAAAAAAAGCCTCTCCAGCGGAGCCTTCTCTTGGCAATTTCCCCTCGCGGGGCTTGAGAAGGTGTCCTGCTGTTGAGGACATATTGTGGTGTATTATCTGTTTCAACTACGGCTGATGATGTTTACGGCTCTTTTATCCTTTTTACTGACGGTTTATTTATTTATTTCTGGGCATTGGGAAGACTCCAAGAGTCTCTCTCCCACGCAATTTTCAATTCGTTTGTCGGTGCAACGGGAGTGGGGGATCGCGGATTTGTACGGCTTTCATCTTGTTATTATTCGCTTTGGAGGAGTTCTGCGCATGCGCAACTACTGGCGTTCATGACGATCATGACCAAAGTATTACCATGACCTATCTTGCAGAAAAGGTCATCAAATGTACCATATATATTACACATCAACAACCCATTCAAATACAAACAAATCAACTGTACTGAAGGTATCAGAATACTGTTGGCTAATGTGAACTTGCTTGCTGCATCTCGGATGGTCGTACTGCATCCATCCACCCTTCCCCTCACTTTCAAACGCTCTGTTGTCAGTCATTTGAGGTCTGGATTCACTTTACTGTCGCCGTCCTTTACACTCTTCTACACCACACCGAGACACCATTGAGGGGGAGGATTGCGCTAATGCGAGATACGGTTGGGGTGGGAAAGGGGGGCCGTGGAGTATACTCGAGGTATGCGTCGGGAGGGGGATAAAGATGGCCAGAAGGTTTTCATGTTGCAAGGTTCCGCGAGATAGCACGACGCCACGGTACAATGGGCTTGAGGGGGTCACTCTCTAGTCCTTCCCTTAGCTTATGTAGGGCTTTTTGATTGCAGGAAACGGGGACTCGATGGGAGGAGAGGGAAGCGGGGTGTTGTGAAGGATGGAGGATTGCCTTAGACCTGCGATTAGTGTAAGCGAGCCTTTTTCGACATCTTTACTCGGTTAGAGTGATTGTAGCGAAGGGGGGCAGATCAATTGAAGCACACGCTACATTGCAATAAGCCCTCGAAGGCCCCCCTCTCTCCCCTTCTGCTTTTGCTTCCCTTGATCTACTAGACATCGTGCAACTTGGCCGTCGTATCTATGCTGTTCCTCCTCGGTTTCGGTTGGAGGGGGAGATATATTGAACTACAACTTATCTGAAATGAGACCATTCAGCGACTCTCCACAAAGTCAATTGACCGACTACACCGAAAAAGTCGTTGGAATGCGACGCCCAGGTGGTGTGAGTTGACGGGATATCAAACGTGATGGCGAGACATTCGGGCGTCTCAAAGTACTCAAGTACTTCGGTGGTCTTGTGCTTTGTACTCATCAGCTTTCCCCACAGTGTGGGACTCTGAGCAGGTAAAATGACGTAGCGGGAACAGGGGGTGGTTCATCGAAAGCTCCAGCTTCGAAGAGGAAAGAGGAAACGGGATGAATTGAAACGCATACTCTCTGCTTCCTCTCTGAATGGAAGGACCCCCTGAGTAGAAATTGAGACCAAATTGATTTTTTGTCCTCAATTGCCTCGATTCTTTCTTCCATCAATTGATTCCTGAGACTGGGGAGTTTCGTCTCGCATCATCAAGCCACGAAGCTCGCGTTTCTAACTACCACTAGCTCTCTGAAGGGAAAGGGTTGGGCTGTTCCAAGCTTGTACAAGAACAGAAAAGCAGCAAAAAGCTCAGCTGCAAACTTGCATCGCTTTGGCGATTTCCCCGCAATTTCTAGGGAGGTCGGAACGGAAGGAAGAGATGGGAAGGAAGCATGGCGGCGCTCATTGGCTCCTGCAACTCTCAAGGTTAAGGTCAGGAATTGGTAACGAGGGACAAGAACGAAGTACTCATGTACCGGGGTACTTCAGTACACCGAGCAAACAAAGCCCACCCCACTCAGTGGTCACCGGGACCAGGCACTGTGTTGTCTCCCACCACAGTGCGATTCGGCGGATGAGGCAAACGATCTGGCAGGCGCGACGCTGAGCTTGTTAGCGCAAGGCTGAACAATTTTTCCTTTTTCGCATCCACGATTATCGCCGAAATCTCCCAATTGCGCTGACAACTCCTCCGTCTTTTCGCGCCGCTTAACTTCATAACCTCCAAGAACACCTCGCAAGCTCCAAGAAACTCTAATACCCAAAGCGATTAGAATCTCCGTATATTCGAGACAGACCACCGGTCTATAGAAGATCTTAAGCTCCTTTCCTTGAATCAAGACGCGGCTCCTCTCGCCGCGCCATAGACCATCATCATGTCCATCCGCGAAGAAATCTTCGAATCTCTCCCATGTACGTTCCCAGACAAGCCCCCTCTCCACCTATTCAAACCGCCCCTCTGCTAGTAGCCCAAATTCTAACTCTGCCCGCCTCAGACATCGACCCCGAACCCACAGAATCCCAACTCGCCGCCGCCCAGTCTCTCATAACCGCCGAACTCCCACCAACCCAACCCCCGCACCCCTCCCTCCGCCCCTCCCCCGAACCAACATTCTCACCCGCGATATCCTCCCTTCTCTTCCAACAAACAACCCCACCAACCCCCCTAACCGCAATCGACCTAACCCGCTACGAAGAACAAGACCCCCTCCCGCCCAATGCCCCCCTCGATGCAGCCCTCACCTCCCTCTCCCGCGCCTACGCCTCAGCAGCCTACCTTTCCGGCCGCACCACCTCCCTCGACCTCCTATCCTCCCACGGGAAAAACGCATGGCTCGTCGCGAACTGGCAGCTCGAGTCGTACCTAACCATCCTCGAGGCCGAGCTCGCGGCTGCTCGCGCCTCCGTCGATAGGCTTGCGCTTGAAAGGAGGAGGGCGCAGGATCACGTTGCGGCTGAGATGGCGGGGTTGGAGGACGCGTGGAAGAAGGGCGTTGCGAAGACGCTGGAGACGGAGGTTGCTGTTGAGGAGGTGAAGAGGGAGATTCGGGAGAGGATGAGGGCGCGGGGGGATGTGATGAACACCGAGTGAAGGGGAAGGAGGAGAGGGAAGAGGAGAGAGTGTGTCTCTAATTTAAGAAAGGGGGGGATAGATTCGGCCATTATGACATGGAATACATGGAGGAAAACCGACGATATATCAATGCTAATACATTCGGGGGCATTGCATTAATGCGATACGGATACGCCTCTATTCACATTTAAGAGTACTTTCTGTTAGCAGATGCAACCGCTCTCCAGCCTTCCAACACCCTTCTCTCCCAACTTTCAAGTGTGCCGCTGAGTCGAGATTTGTCCACCTCATTATCAGCGTGTCGTGCAATTAATCGAAACACAACACACACAAATCGAGCAAGCATGTAATCGGAGAGACGTCGTTCATGCGGTTTGAGAGGCGATGTACTAGAGAGCTGATAAAACCAGCGTTTACATGGACTGTAGAAAAAAAAATTTGCTTGGGTGTGGTGGGTATGTATGTATCTGCGTGTATAACATTCAAGAGAGCCACCCCTGACTGCGTCTCCCCTTGACTTTTCCTTCGACCTACCGGTGCCTTTTACCGCCCCCATTTCAATCCCTCTCGCTCCTCTACCTTGGCCTTCTCCGATCCCCAAAACAACAAAGGAAAAGAAAAGACAAGAAAAGAAAAGAAAGAGAGGCGGACTATCTACTTAATCCTTTTGTAGAGGGTCCATCTCTTCCACCCCAGACTTGACACCAACGTACTTAGTCCTCCTCATAATGCTCTCGACAGGACCTAGCATTCTCTGGAATGCAGATTTGCCAAGGACGGCAACCTTGACATCTGTTGTTGCGATGACGGTGGCGGCTCGCGGTTTATCGTTAAGCAGCGCAAGCTCACCGAAGAAGTCGCCTTTTTCGTAGTGCTTAACTACACCCTCCTCGTTAGACTTGTACGCGTCGGCCTGCCCGCTGACCATGAGATAGAAAGTAGATCCTTGATCGCCTTCCCTGATGATGGATTCTCCGGCGGCGAACTTGGAGGATTCAAGAGCATCGGCAATCTTGGACCGCTCGTAAGGTGTAAGTGATGAGAGTAGCGGGACCTCGGCGAGAAAGTGCTCATACATGCGTCTCCTGGCAAAAGACGATTCCAACAAGATCTTGCGAAATGTGACACGGTCAAGAGCCCAAAGCGTCGATGCCGGTGACGCCGAGACAATGGTCGCTGCACGGGGGGCGTTGTACATGAGGGCTAACTCTCCAAAAGAGCCGCCGGCCTTGATTGTGCCAACGTGGTCGCCCAGTCCCGAAGGTCCAGGTTGAACACTTCCGGATGGATGCACATAAACTTCGAAAATTCCCTTTTCTACAATATAAAAGTAGTCACCAACATCGCCTTGCACAATAACCTATACGTAGTTGTTAGATCTGATGTAATATGAAGATGCAGGAATACATGTGGGCAAGAGGAAAAGAGGGAAAGCGAGCTGGTAAAGACATGACGCACTCTGATGTCCTTTGCAGGAATCGGTTTCTCGACCAAGGCTCCAAGAACCTGGGAATATTGTTCCTCGTCTAGATGAGCGAAGAGAAAGTTGTCCTTCAAAGCGTTCTGGAGGCGCTCAAGCTGCTCTGGAGTCTTTTGGTGGTTAGGAGGGGACCAGTTGTCGTCGGTATCGGCGCTAGGTTTCAGAGACTCGGCCGAGACAGACGTCCGTCGGGCGAAATTGTACTGAGCAGGGTATGATTCAGGGTTGGGCATATGCCTAAATTCGGGTCCTAACGTGTCGGCGCTGCTGTCCGTGTTGAAAGGTGTGCTGAATAGAGAGGCACCGCCGTGCCCGAAACTTGGCGTCGCGGACGAGGCGCCAGTGTCATCCTCATCCTCCTCTACGACCCGCTGCATTCCTGGACTGCTTACTGTTGGCTTTGAGCCCTCCCCTCCGGCGAAAGGGTTCACGCCGGACGCAAACGGGGCCGACATGCTGTGGCAGGAAGCAATCTTGCGATGGAGCTGCTCTCGCGCAACGTCGGGTTGATCTGACTGTCGTAACCTGGATTCTTGCGGTTCTCTCACAAACCGAACTGAATCAAGAGCTACCTTCCTTACGAAGCGTCGAGTGGGCTGGTATAAGGTTTCGGGGAGCAAAGAAGTCGAGGTAAAGACTGTGGCGGTGGTCGATGGTAGTAATTGGCCTCGGTTCAAGGACGATGGGCGAGAAGCGCGTTGGGTGGCAAGCAACCTCGCGAAGTAATCGGCACAGAATTGAATAACGTCGGGCGGCTGGTCACGGATGAGATCCTCTTCAAGCCGTGCTATGATATGTTGGTAAGTAACTGGCTGACGGTCCATGTTCAAATACGAAGACAAAAGACAAGGGCCCGATAAGATGAAAGTTTGTAGTTAATACAGGGGGGAGGCATTTGAAGATGGCGTAGAGGAGGAGGAGAAGAAGGAGGGTTTCCAATATATTGAGATATATACCTTGACGCACAGGGTTCACGACTTGAAAAGCTTTCTTCAACTGACTCCGACTCCGATGGCTATGTTAGCTCCGCCGTTTCGGATGGCAGAGCGAGGAAAATAAGGGGTTTTGAGACAGACGTGAGATGTGGATGGCCAACGGAGGTGCGGGGGCGGGGTGGTGGTGGGCGAGGCCGGTCGTTGAAGCAGAGAAAGGGGAAATTGAGCGGACTTTAGCAGAGGGGAGAGAAGATGTGTGGCAAGGCCGCCAAAGTCGTAGCTTGTTCGAGGTTTGTGGAGAAGAGGGATGCAAAGAAACGGGTGTGTGCTGGAGGGGGCCAAAGGCTGCCTGCCTGTGGTTGGGGTTGGCTATCGGCCTGACGTAAGGCTGGATATCGCTTGGGGAGTATGCGGGAGAGGTGGGAGGGAAAAGAAGCTCGCGCGTCCGGAATGACAAAGGGCAAGTCTGTGCAATTGTAAGGAACTCGCGAAGGAGATGCGTACAGCTTAGAGGTAAGGAAGTAAGGACATAGATGCAGGGTAGAGGTATAGGCTTGAGCATCAGAACAAAGCAGCTCAGAAAGCACAGGCCACCCGCTATCCCGAGCTACTCAATGTGGTGAAAAAAGGTGGAGGGCTAAAAAGGTCTGGGAACAAAGAGGGGCGTTTCTAAGAGTAAAACACGCGGGAGCCCACGCGGGCAGGGGCAGAAACAGCCGGCAGCTTCGTGAAACTTACTTGGGGAATTGTTTTTGAAAGAACTTGGCTCTCGGGGGAGAATTGACCTCCCTTTTGAGGTCGAGCCTAGGATAGATTCACAAGACGAGAGCTCGGGGAAGTCAAACAAGCTGACGATTATCTCAAGGTGGGGGATGTGCTAAATGTCGCCTCGCACACGGTGCAGGTATCGGACGTCTGGGGAAGCGACCGTGTACAGCGTTCCGAGACCAGGGAGCGGGAGCTGGTAGCCAATTGAGACGTTCGGATAGTAGATGAAAACGTCAGGGTTCGTCGAAGAGGAGCTGGAGTACGGCGAGAGTAAGTAAGGTGAAAGAGCTGGAAAAGAGATGAAAGACGAGAAGAGGGTGTGGCTCGAGAATGTGCAATGGCAAAAGGGCTGGAATGATGCAAGATAGGGAGAGGAATGTAAGGCCCTACTGGGTACGAGGGTACAGTGGTTACCGGGGGGTGACTAAGAAAGCTAAAACGAGATTACAACAGGTATAGAAGTATAGAAGGAAGAAGGAGAGGAGGAGGGAACAACGAGGTACAGGAAGCACTAGGAGCGGAGCTTACTGTACGAAGTAGTGTAGAGCAGTGTGTTGGAAGAGCGAGTTCAGTGAGAGCGGCTCGGTACTAAGATGTGGTCTCTAGCTAAATTGAGCGGTAGTTGGGCGAAACTGGCTGTCTGGCGATGCGGGGAACCGGGGCGATAAAACAGGCTCTAAGTTTCCGATCTTCTGAGGATACAAGTAGGTTCGAAAACAATATTAAACACAGATCAAGATACCCCACAGAAAGAAAGACCAATAAATGAGGGACGACGGGAAAACTGAGAATGGAAGGAAAAGGGAGAGTTTCAATGATGGTCACCTCGCCGAGGAGGTTCGCCCTTTTGACTAGCTGCTTCCTCAGCTGTGGTACTTCTTCGGTAGGGTTTGGGGGAAATGTTCGAGAGGGAAGGAGTGGAAACACAGCCAATTTTTTTTTTTTAATTTTTTTTTTTTCCACTGTCCTGGGCTGAGGCAGGGAACACTTCATTGAAGGTGCAAGTTTACTGGACATCAAGTTACTTTTGTCCTTGTAAACTACTAGGCCTGAGCAAAACAACCTCTGCTGTGGTGGGTGGGAATGAAATGTAGTGGGGGGCAGCTTCTCTGATAGTGGCACCCGATGAGCATGACCCCGCAGCCAATCGAACAATTCTAGAACACGCATGGACCAGATGTCGACCCGTGCCTGCGGCTTTCATTGTTGCCTCTCGGTCGGCAAGGGCGATCGTTGGGGGTCTTCTCTCCGCCTTCCCTACTGGACGACTGGAGAGACCAAGTTCCCTCTATCCTGAGGGACTGGTACTTCGTACTCCCAGTGCCTCATACGAAGTACCTTTGTAGAGTGATCAAGAGATTGACTTGCCCCGCAACCCCCTCTCCACGGACCAGGCTCGCTCGCACAGGCCTTCCTTCCCGAACAGACCCCTCAATCACAGCAGGAGCACCCAAATTTCAGTGCTCGAGCTTGCTCCTTGCAGCAACGCTCCGGTCCAACCACCCAATTGATCGATGGACCAGCCCAGTGGTTGTGAGCAGAAACTTCAATTAAATTGCGAATATAACTATTGCATCGGGATATGCGCCTCGCTCAGCAAACTTTGATCAGTTTTTCGCGTGTCGTTGTAGGGACCAGATATTCTGCGCCGGGAGTGCATTGCTTGTCGTCTGTCATCTCGCGTCTGGCCCTTCCTGACACCAATTGATCTCTTCCAGGCACCTCAATACATCCAGACACTCATACTTCGTGTACACTACTCGGGTAGAAAACATGGCAGAGGACCTAGAACCCACCCTCATGTCCAATATTGGAAATGAGGACGGCTTGGTTGGCATCAAACCAGGGAGCTCGCCTCAATCTTGCGTCCTGCTCTCCGCTCTTGACTATTCGTGATCAATCATTTGACCAGGTGTGAGGATCAACGATGCGCCATTACTTTGTCAGCACCGCACACAACAAGCTGGATTTGTTCTTGCCGGTCCGGTCTCCTCACCTTTCTCGCCGGTGCCTCAGCGCCTTCTCGCCAATGACAGTCTCTCTTGTCATCCGCAACTCATCCTCTCACCCTCTCACACCCCAAGTCCAATCTTCCATGTTCCCTGTTCCTTCTCTGCGTCTTGACATACCCCGCCGGTCCATGTGTTTCCAGATTCTCTTTCGCACATATCGGCACAGCGGGCGGAAGCCATGACAGACCAGTAAGATGTCACCAAGCGGCATTAGCGCATCGTTGGGTGCAGGTGTGGATGACGCAGATGGTTCAAGGGTACTCGATTTATTTTGCTCCATCGAGCCCGCGGTCGAAGTACCTACCTCATCCCGCCTGGCTGATAATAGCCTGGCAGCAAGGGACAAAGATTGTGGCTTGCGAAGTCGAGGTGGTATTGGTGGTCGAGCATCCTCGATTTGGACGTCGTTGGCGTTTGTTGAGCGCATCGCAAATGAAAAAAAGCTCCAACCCCGGCATGAGCTACCTCACTTCTTATTTTCTCCTTTCGGTCCTCGCTTCACCCCTGCCGAGTGCAGCCTCTCTGTGCCGCCCATCCTTGACGCATATTGGATGCATCAGGAGCGCTCATGCCAATTGCCGTAGAGGATGTGAGCACCCGAGAGCTCCACTACGTCGTTGTGTTGTAGCGGGGTCCAGATTCCGGCTTGGGTGTTCATCTCAAGTTTTTTAGTCTCTACGTAATTATTGATTCCTTGCACATCAATTCATGTATGCTCCCGTTTTTGACTTGCTTCTTCAACACACCTCTCGGAAACGGGAAGAAAAAGGATTCGCCTTCTAAACAATAGTTGCGTTTGTAAACCTCCGAAGCTTAGATGAGCTTGCAGATCGGCTGCCGCCTTCCTGCAAGGCGCCATCTAATTTCCTTTTGATGCACGGCCGGAGTTCGTATCGGTGGGTTCTGCTGGATCTCGAAACTAATAGTGTATTGTTTTCAGGTGTCAATCAACCTCGGCACCCTTGACCTCATCCAGTTAATTTCTGGAAGACCTGAAGAAGGACGACCCTTGTTCTTTATCCTTGACTCCGTTTAAATCTCTCGGCCGGCGCAACCGTGTACTCCGTACACGAATACCATCGGAAACATTCCTGATCTGGATGTTGGTATTGTCCCCCACTTTAGCTTTCCTATCGTCGACCCACCTCGACGCACGCGTGGTCAGCAATGCTTCCCAGTTTATGTCCCTCAAAGGAACAACGCGATGCACATGATGGCCTTCGGATATTTTGGCCGAGGCCCGTCAACCAAGACGGTGGAGAGCCTAGTGTCGCGTAGGGTGAAATGGCGGTCACCCCTTCAAGCTGACGAGTCTAGACTGGTAAGGGGACCGCTCCATAGCTTGGAGGGTGGCACTACAGCCCTGGTAAGGGGTATAGTACCGAAGAACGAACAAGACCCTCTTCTCCTCCATCTGGAGGCCGCTCCGTCCAATAGACGAGAAGAAACGACGCCATCACCTCGCCAATTTTGGAGATATAACTCAAGGCGATGATGAGGAATCGAAATATTACACGAGATATATTTGCTTGCACGCAAACTCATCCCACTTCTCTTATTACCCCATTTATACCGAGGTAAAGAATAAGCGTGAAGGCCAAAGGTCAGGGAGGAAACTCGAGGAGAAAACGGCGCAGATAGTGTTTATAACTCGAAATGCACGGAAGCCCATATTCTCCTGTCTGGGGCGTCTTCCGGGTATTGCCCATAAAAGTAAAAGTACAACCTTCCAAAAATAACTCGACAATTACCCAACGGCGCCATCCACATTTCCTGCCCGCTCTGTATCAGCAACACAACACCCCTCCCTCGCTTGCAACCCCCCCTTTTTCTCTCTTTAATGGTACAGAGATGACCCCCAAACGTGTAAGTATAAGAGGAAAAGACAATAGTGGAAAAAAGAAAGAGGAACCGTCCGGGGGGCCATCTCGGAATGGATGAAAGACGGAATGAGATGATGTAACAGGAAACATCTGGAGAATAAGGCAAACAGCAGAGAAGGAGGAGGAGGAGGAGGAAGAAGAAGAAGAAAGAGAGAGAAAAAAGTATCAACCCAGTTCCGCATGTCCCGCCCGTTGCGCCGTTTTTTTCAATGCTGGTTAGTATGCAAATGTGATCGATGCCGAGTAAAAATAGGAAACGCGTGCCCTTTTTTTTTGTTGCGAACGCCTCCCATCCTGCGCCAGGTCCGTTGCACCCACTCCAGGAATCCTTTTACCGCGCCGCAACTTTCATTTCAACGGCTTGATATTGCTCGGTATCGCCGACTCACGTCATGTTGTTTAGTCGTTCGCCTGTCTAAAAGAGAAGGGTAAAAATAGAAAAAGTGGCTCCTCTGGTCTCCTCTGGTCTCGTCTGCTCATGCGTATAAAGACAAAAGGGGTATTAGGCGGAGCAAGATGGAGACTGTGCCTCCGAGATGATTATGACCGTGGGGGGTTAGTATCCCACAGCTAGGCAAGAATCGAGGACGGAGTCGAGGCTGCTCATGTCTTGAGCGTCCGTTCCCTCCCACCATACGTCGGTGTCAACATCCATCGCATCGACATGGCCATTGGGAATGTCGCCCGACGCACCGCCATTGATGCTTGGCAGTCGAGCGATTTCAGCCGGAGGTAGTTTGCTGTATTCCTCGTCGACCCATGTATAGTCGTCCCAGTTCTCTAGCTCTCCTTCGCGATACGCGTAGGTGATGGATGTTGCGATAACGGGGAAGTTTGCCATGCCTATATCCGCTAGCTCCATGGCCAGCTGCATGTCTGCAAGCCCCAATGGACCTCTCTCGCTGGCGGCTTTCGCTTCGACTGGGAGAAGGCCGCCCTTGTCCCTAGTAATTTCGCCCCTACGAGAGGCATCCTCCTCAATGGCCAGTTGTTTCTTGTATGAATTTGTCTGGATCCAAGTGGTGCCGACATCCATGCCCGTGCTTCCAGACGCACCTGGGGCGTTACTTCTTGTCCGGCTAAAGACAGTAGATAGTACGTCTTTGATGAATGTTTCCGTCGCAACTAGCATTAGTTGGGCGGCGTCGGGGGAATGACCAGAGACAAGCCCAGCCTCGTAGCAAAAAGGCAGCATGCGCCCTTCGATAACCGAGACGTCTGGGAACTCTCCGGATTCCACGGCCAAAGGTAGCGCGAACCGTTTCCGCACCTCGAGATCAACATCTGAATAAGAGCAAGTCAGACTTTACCGTGCCGATCATGATGGATGTTTAGGGACCGGGAATCTAGATTCTACTTACTCATATTGTTGATGCCGGCGGCACTTTGTGGTACATCGATAACCTTGGAAGGCCGTCGGTATGTTTCTGAAAAGACCCCAGATAAACTCTCATGTGCATCGAACTGATCGGAAATTGCTTCGTTAGCCATCGAGAGCAAGATTGAGTTTCGTATCATAGGCTCGACCTACGTCGTTGTTTACCAAGTCCTTGATACGCCTGCGGTCTCTGCTTAGCAGCTGCATCACCTCGCCCTTCAAGCGCCGCTCGTTCGCATCACCCGTCGTCGGCTTCGCGGTCACCCCTGTTGCCGGTTTGTCATTAGCACTCACCCAGGGGGCGAGCCCCTGGTCTGGCATTTCCCTAGTGACATTTCCGTAGATGGCTGCGATGAGCTGGTTGTGGAGGTGTTCTTTTTCGCCGTTCGGAGAGGCTAGGATCGGATCAATTCTCGAGGAGTATTCAGCCTGGTTCAAGCGTCCTTGAAATTCAAAAGTCAGCTACGCACACACGGCGAAAGGACGGAAACAGACGAGTTCAGAGAGCTCAGTCACGGACATACCTATCAGGAACTGGGTTGTAGACTCCTTGTATACAAGCCATTGTTCACTAGGGATAACCGATTTTAAGGCGGTATAGAGGGGTTCGAGGTCAATTCTCGCCGGGATGATCTGGCTCGTCTTCGTAATCTTCTGGGCGCCCGGCGCGGAGACTATGATGGCTTTATTCGATAGGGGAGGTGTGGAGAGGGTGATTGACGGGCGGCTCAGGGCCGCGGGGTCGATATCCGGCATGGTGGGAGGCGCGATGTCAATTCCTCAGTCGCGTGTAGCGAAAGACCGCGGCGCCACGTGAAAGAGTGAACATTAGATGCATATAATGAATGAACGATAGGCGGCGATCATGGATTCGACGTCGGATTAATGATTTTCGCCCGTCGTGGCGGCGAAACGGATGGCCGATTTGGGCGCGGATTCGAGGGCATTGGAGAGTCGACGTCGTTGAATGTCTCTTACACGGTCGACTTTTAGACGACGTCACGTGCGACCAGCCGCCAGCCTCGCTTTGCGCCGCAGACCGAAATGGCGAAAGCGACGGTCGAGGCGTCGTCTCCCTCGCACGTGATTAAGTCACCCAGTCTCTTCACACCACCAGTGACACCAATGCGTTGGAAACGAAGTCGTTATACATATATATAAAACTGCTGGCGGAGCCTGGTTCCCGATCAAAGCCATTTTGAACAAGATTTTCGAACGTTCTCAATGTTCTTGCTACTTGCTTAGGGTTGATCTCGCCAAAGTCATGTGTAGGCCGACGGAATGACTGCCGCCTGTCACACCTGTTCTGCAACACTTGTTGTCAGAAGCAAGGGGGCAACTTAAGTCACCGCTTTATACGAAAAACCCCTTTGGGGTGGTTGAGGAATGATCCCCTAATTGCTCAATGGTGTGCTGTCTCTCTTGCCTTTCTCCTTGGTTGGGGACTCTCAGTCTCGCTGTTTAACTTGTGCAATGAGCGCATTAGAATTCATTCCCCTGCTGCATGGAGTTGAGCTGTACGGGCTCGAGTACATGCTTCAGTGCTTGGGAACGGAATGGCATCTGCCAGAGCTTGCTTTCTACGGCGGTGGAGTTAGTCTCTACGGTGTAAGCTTGCACGCTGGCAGCCTTTTTTTTTCGTTAGCCTGAAAGACAAGTGATCTGACCAGTAGTTGTAGTCCCGAACTCTAGAGCGCTTCGCCTGTTTCTATATAGGATACTAGTGTCCTGGATGATGAAGCTCTAGACATTCTGGATGAGGCTGAAGATGGCGTTTCGAATATCCTCGAAGAGGGGCATCCGCTATTCTGTGAACAGAGTCGATATAGAGGACAAGATGCAGCTGGCTTGATAGAGCTTCATTGCGCAGTCCGCAATAACAATTCGCCCTTGGCCAAGCCCCTTATAGACGAAGGTGTAAATTTGCGCAGCAGAGCGAATCACGGAAAGACAGCGGTCTAGGTTGTGTCTTTAGTCTGATGTTGCTGTTTCAACTGCTTCGAATGCTGAACCGCCAGAGAATTGTCCATTTGTTGTGACGTGGTTGCCTCAGGCGGCTAGGCAGTAATGTACAAACGTCTTCATTCATCCCTCCGCCATTCCCTCTCTGTGATGTTCTCAACACCAACATCCCGGCCTATGGACTTGTACTCGTTCATCTTCGACGACTAGGGATCACGAGAATCCAATATCCTCTAGGCTCTCCCTTGCGAACTCTAGGGAGCCTACGACTGGGCGGCAAAAGTGCTAAGATCTGTAGCAATATATAATACGTACCAGTACCAAATATTCCTCCTGTATTTGGTTTGTACTTAGGTATCGGTACTTCTTTTATGCACCTCTTGTAACTACCCCACTCAAAGTTAAGTCGCGGTTGTCGCGTCTTCCATTGAAACACATTTGAACTGTGAACCGCTGCAACTATTTCGAGCCACCAGCATCGACGTGTTCGCGACGAGAATTCCAGCTCCCTTCCACTCGCCATAGACTTCGGGGAAATTACTGAGCTTTGAGTGCCACCAGGATGCCACCATGGCGCCCAACAGCAACAAACTCGTCGACGCTGTCGACAGGCTAATCACCCACATCGTCCCAACCAACCCCAAAGAAGATGAAGAGGCGGCCCAGGAGAGACACGATAATTGTTTCGAGCTCGTGAAGAACATCCTGGAGAGGTACGCGCATAGTATTTCACTCCCCGATGTATATACGCTGTGCTAACCGCAACTTTCTCACTCCTCTTCCAGCCCCGCATCCCCAGCGATCTCCTCCGATGTAAACCATGCGTCCGACATGATCAAGCGGAAGCTGATCCAAACGAACCCGAGCCAAGCCCTTCGCTTTTCGAACCTTTACAGCCGCCTTCTATCACTTCCCGTCCTGAAGCAAAAATGGGCTATCCTCTACCTACTGTACCAACTCTCCGATTCCCCCGACCCGAACGAACCCCTCCCGCTAGAACCCGCCCTATCTCGTTACGAGAGAGAAGCTCCGAGAAGGGCTGAACAAAATCATACTCCGAAATCTCTGACCCCTGCACCAAATCAAGACGAAGAGGTATTCAACGAAGCGTTTGCGCAGGGCGGACTAAAGAAGTTCCCACCGCAGCCGCGAGAAGGAAAGAAGGAGAAAGCTGACGAGGAGAAGGAGAGAGCTTCGCCTACAACTTCCAAGGAGTCACCAAAACGAGATGTAGCGCTGAAATCGAAACACTTGGCTAATAACTACGTCGAAACCAACCCTTCGGAGCCCTCTCTCCTTCGCGACCTACCCTTCACCCTCCAGGGCTTATCCTCGACGACCATGCCGTTCGAGAAACAAGATACACTCACACTCCCCCCCACTCTTCCGGCGCCGATAATATCACTTCTACATACCCTTGCAGAGCCCTCTCTTCTCTACAAGAGCCTAGATACTTTTGTCAAGTCGCCAGCGAAAGGCCTTCTAGGCCAAAGTCTTCGAGCGGCTATTGGCACAGAACTCAAGTCATACCTTAGCTTAATCGCCACGCTAGAGGTGCAGATCCGCCGAGCTCTGGCGACTCTTGACGAAGAAGCTCCCCGTCAAGGCATAGGAAAGGCCGGAGTAACTTTGAAACGATGCGTGGTCTGGACAAGGGAGGCAACCATGGGCCTGCGCCTAATGTGCCTTATAGCGGAGGAGTCCGAGAAGCAGAGGGGAGGGAAGCTAATCTCCATGATTCACAGCTACTCCTCTTCATACGGCGATCCCATGGTCGCGGCGTTTGCCGAGCGTCTCCTTGGCCAATTCACAAGGCCCTTCTTCGATATCCTCCGCCACTGGATTTACGACGGCGAGCTCGTCGACCCTTACCTCGAGTTCTTCGTCAGAGAACAAACGCCGGGAGAAAACGACGTCAACAAGGCCAAGACCGGCGGAAATAGCGTGTGGGAGGACAAGTACGAGATTGACAAGGACATGATCCCCAGCATCATAACTCAGGACTTCGCCCAAAAGGTGTTTCTTATCGGGAAATCTCTCAACTTTATCCGACATAGCTGCAGTGACTCGCAATGGGTCATGGCGTATTCCAAAGCGGCGTCGAAAGAACTCCGATACGGCGACACGGCCCGACTCGAGGAGTGGATCGACGAGGCTTACAAAACCACCATGAAGCGCCTGATGGACCTCATGGAGACCAAGTTCCACCTCTTCGAGCACCTCCAAGCTCTGAAGAACTACATCCTCCTCGGGCAAGGAGACTTCATCGCCCTTCTCATGGAGTCGCTCGCAGCGTACCTCGACCGCCCCGCGGGAGCGCAGTATCGCCACACTCTCACGGCGCAGCTCGAGAACGCCATCCGCGGCTCCAACGCGCAGTACGACTCGGGTGAGGTCCTTCGACGCCTCGACGCCCGCATGTTGCAGCTCTCGCACGGCGACATCGGCTGGGACTGCTTCACGCTCGAGTACAAGATCGATGCGCCCGTCGACGTCGTCGTGACGGAGTGGGGTAATCGGCAGTACCTCAAGGTCTTCAACTTCCTGTGGCGCATTAAGCGCGTCGAGTTCGCCCTCGCGTCTACCTGGCGCAAGTGCATGACGGGGGCGCGCGGCGTCCTGCAGAACGGCGACCCGGCCGTCGAGCAGACGTGGAAGTCGACCCGCGGTGTCCTCGCCGAGATGATCCACTTCGTCGGCCAGCTCCAGTACTACATCCTCTTCGAGGTCATCGAGTCTTCCTGGGGTGAGCTCCAGAAGCGCATCCGCCGCGAAGGCTGCACCCTCGACGATCTCATCAAGGCCCACACCCGCTACCTCAACGACATCACCCACAAGGGTCTCCTGGGCGCCCGGCGCCGCCACGCCGTCGACCCCGTCACTGGCGAGGACGACCGCACCTCGTACCTCTCCCAGCTCGGCGATCTCCTCCGCACCATGCTCGCCTACCGTAACTCCGTCGACGGCCTCTACAGCTGGAGCGTTAGCGACTTCACCCGCCGCCAGGAAGCCGACGTCCGCACCTCTACCCGTCCTCGCCGCGGCGCCGCTACTCCCGCCGACGAGCCCCTGGGGACCTCCGTCGCTAGCGAGTTCCCCGTCTTGACAGAACGCCTTCGACATCTGGGCACCTCGTTCCGCACCCGTCTTCAGATTCTTCTCGGCGATTTGGCCTATCAGCCGGATGTCGATATGCGCTTCTTGGGCGTCGCCATGAACTTTAACGATGTGTATCAGCCCGCGAGGAGGAAGAGCAAGGCGCCGCAGTCTGCGAGCAGTGCTGTTGGTACAAGTGCGTAAGGGTTTTTTGGGTGGTGTCTTTTTTTGATTTCCCTTCCTCTTTAGAAATGGATACGTACATTCGACACACCCGTAGATGCAAACTCGGGGACTGGAGTGTGCTGGGTGTATTGTCTGAGGTTTGGCGCGAGGGAATGTCTGTCTCTTTGATTTTCGGGGGATATTTACGTCGTAACGATAGGCGAGGCAAAAAGGCAAGGAAAGGCTTGTTTGTTCATGATAGCATAACCAATACATTCATTCCTCCACCGAAATGTCCGATTCTTCACCTCACTGCTGTCTACGGGAAACATCCCCGTGAAGGTTACAAGATCACCGAGACACACGACACACGACACATGCACTCGGAACAGAACACACATTTGGCTAAATCTCTTGATTTCAATTCATAATGGCGCAAAGTATCATGTAATGCCGTATCGTCGTTAGAAAGCATGACAGGGCAGAAAAAAAAAAAAAGAAAGAAGAAAAAGAAATAACAACCCGAATTCGAAAGAGGAATTGATCATCCCTTTCTACTCTCTAGAGTCCTGATAAACAGCGCCGCCTTTCCTTTCCTTTCTAGTAGAAAGTCAAACAAACAACAAGAAACTTCTTTTGTTTACCAGACCATGGACCCCCTTTTGCCATGCAATGACTTGTCATAATACATATAAAGCCCTCCACCATGAAAAAACCAGATGCTAGAAAAAAGAAGACGAGAAAACAGAAACATGCCCCATTCCCTTTTTGTCTTTCCGAGCATAAAAATCAGAGATTGTGTGACAGAGTCGACCGGGTTGGCTCGTCTGTCCACCCTTTCTAAATATATATAATGATGTATTGTTCCCGGAATTCTCTGCGTCGTATCGTCGAGTCGTTTCGTGATTGTTAAAATTGGCAGACTCACTGAAACTTGAGCGTTCAACAGACAACGTGCAAATACCATCGGGTTCTCGGTTCGCGGAGGCCATCGGCGGATGGGTGAATCGTCATACCCCCAACAAACATAAAAAGAGACGGAGGAAAACCTCGCCTCTGCTAATCGGCCATGGAATTGTTCGTCATGGCGTTTGGATAGTGATAAATAAACCTCGATTTCGACTGCACCTAGATCAACTTCGGATTTGCGCCGGCGAGCTCGTATACGCATGCTCCAGCCCATAGGAAGGCACCAGATCCTGGGAAGAGCATCCAGTGATAAAGTGCCTCCGACGCCCAACTCTCAACCTCACCAGGTCGGAGCAATGCTAATAGAGGGAAGACACCAAGTCATAGATTATCTCGGCTCTCTAGGCGTCCATCATAACAGTATCGACGTCACTTTGAGCATAGTCATTGGGACCGTCATCTGGTCCGAACGTCCCCTCGTAGACCGTGGCGGCGCATCGTCGTCGAGTAGCAACCCAGCGGAAACTGTCGAATTGGAGAATTTGGTCAACGGTGGGGCGCTGGGCCGGCTCAGGACGAGTCAGCTGGTGCATCAAAAAGTCCATGGACCAAGGATGAGATGAACGGGCCATGAACGGAGGAGGCTGCACCAAAGGCGCGTGCTTGGGAACGCCGAAATCAGGTCGGGGATTGGCAATAGTCATCATCTTGCCAGTGAGAGGATCTTCGAAAGTCATCGATGAGCAGGGGATGTCTCCCGTCACGCCGATGATCTCAAACGGTGTGAGTGTTGGAAGCTCCGTGTATTGGGCGTTCCTCAACGCTTGCCAGGCCAAGCCATTGTCGGGTAGCTGGACATTACCACCAATTTCCAGCGTCATCAATCCCAGAGAGAAAACGTCTGACGCTTTGTCGTACTGGCCCTTGAGGATTTCGGGACCGATGTATTCACGGTCACCCTCGGCGTCAATATACTTTGTGACGGGCCACTCAGCCGCAAGGCCGAAGTCTCCGATCTTGAGAACACCCTCATGGGTGATGAACACATTGGCGGGTTTCAGATCGAGATGCATCAAGTTGGCATTGTGAATAGCTTGAAGACCCTATCACGAAAAAAAAAAAAAAAATGATTAGCAGGAGAACTTTCTTCCAAGGGGAAAGGACGTAGGCGCATAGACTTTACAAGCAAGATATCGTGCAGAACTTTCCAGATTCGGAAGTCGTCCAGCCGCCCCTTATGGCCAAGCTCACTGACGAACGTCTGGAGAGTACCCTCATCACAGTACTCGGTCTGGATATACAAGTGGTTGTTTACCTCCCAGCTATTGATGTAGTGAAGTATGTGGCTCGCATGACTCAGAGACTTCAAGATTCGAACCTCGTTAAGCTTCCGATCGCGATCGCGGGGGCCGGTAAAGGCTCGGCGAGATTTCTTGACTGCGTAGGCCGTTCCAGGCGAAGGCGAACCTGGAGGTGTCTTCGCCAGAGGACTACTGCTAAGCTCAACACCCAAGGAGGCGCGAGACCGCCTGGGGAAGGCAACGCGATAAACGATTGAGAACTCGCCGCGGCCAATCTCGTCAACTTTGTAGAACTTGTGGAGAAGATACTCGTCGATGTCGACACGGCTCTTCCCCAAGTGAACAGGAGTCACAATTCGGCGACCATTCTGGCTCGTGGTAGGGGTGACTGGGGCGGGAGATTGTTGCTCCGCCGCGGTGTTTCCGTTGCGCGAGACCGAGAACCGGCTAGGGTCAAGTTGCAACATGTTTTCGAGAGGCGTCTTCGGCGTCTGCTGACCGGGTCGAATAGGACTCGCTGTTTATAATTGTCAGCAGATCAAACTTCGAGGCAAGTGGAGGTGGATTTCCTGGTTCTTTTTTCTTTTCTCAACTCACATGAAGGTTCTCGAGAGAACATGGGCTTGACAGCCGAGATGGGGGGCCCTCGTCGATTGGCACTTGGGCTATCGGTGATGTTGCTGTCCAGGTTAGCCTCGGTGGCCGAGGGCGTCGCGAATGTCTTCGTCGGAGTCGGAGGAACGCCTTCGGGGGTGTGAGCACCGCTGCTCGTGCCACCATTGGCATTGGCGTTGGCATTGTTCTCTTCGTCCAGATTCAGGACGCTGGCGCGTCGGTGAACCCGACCTCCCAACCTATGGAAGAGGCCGAGACCCTTACCAACATTACCATACGATGAATTTTCGTCTCCGTCGGCCCGGGTCGAGCCCAAGGCAATGGGTGTGGCAGGCCCGCGTCGGAATCTAACAGCGCTACTGGGTGGGTAGGTAGCGAAACCAGAGGAGCTGTTCTTCTTGCACGGGGTATCGGGTACCACCATCCCCTTATCTTCGTCGAGATCTCGATTGACCTTCGACACCAAACCGGAGGACATGAACATACTAGGTCGTCCAACGGCTGGAGTATATGTGGCCTGCGCATTTTGCACGGCATTGGGCAGCGACCTGGTAAAAATGGTGTTGGCCGCGGGGGGTAGTGAAAATTTGAAGCGATCCGATCGCAGATTGGGGAGTTTATTTGCCGACTGCTCAATCGGAAACCTTATGGGGCTGTCCTCGACGAAACAACTACCTGAGGTAGAAGGCTTGAGCGATCGCGACAACGGATGAGGGTTGTTGCCGGCTTGGTTCGCAGGAGGGTTTGTGTGCATCACTGAAGCAGAGAATGCTCCGCTTGTCGGGAATGGGTTCTCACGTGCGGCAGGAGGTGGAACAAATTGGTCGGATGACAGCCTAGGACGATTGCGACCGTTGGGACTTGGTACCTCCGCGCCCATTTGCATTTGAGCGAGTTGCTGTGCGCCAGTGCGCCTTCCCCACGAACCTTTGTCGCCGTACCGTTGCTGAAGCGTCGACTTGCGTAGCGAGGATGATCGGCGCGTAGCCGAAGACATGGGAGTAGGGGAGGGCTGGCTGTCGCGTCGAATTGTGCTGCCTACCAGGGTATAATTATTTTGGGAGGACTCGTCGTGTATGTCGAAACTGAGCGACGGAGAGCTCGCGTGGTCGAAGACATTGGCGTCGTGCACAATACTACTAAAGCTGGCGATGCCGTGCAAGCTTCGACGCTTCGCGACAGGGCTCGCCACGCTGCCCGTACCGAAATCCATGTCGGCGTCAGTTCGCTTTAACGTGCCCGTACCGGCGACTGGGCTGGAGAAGTCGGAAGTGGTCGTGTCTAGGTTGCGGAAAATGGAGTGAGACGCGCCAGAAACATCAAGGTGCAAACTATGACGCGATGGCTTGTTCAGGCAGCGCCTGGAGAGGGGGCTCGCAGGGATTGCCGAGCGGCCGTTCTCTTGGCCAGGCGCGTCAGCGCTCGAGGACGGGATGCTGTTTCCAGAATCGGAAGAAATGCTGAGGGCTCTTTTCAATGGTGATTTGGGGGACACTCGCGTCCTCGGCACAGGTCCCAAAGGAGTCGTGGAGCCCGTTTGCGGCTTTGAGAATCTCGCAGATCGGAGAGAGAGCTTGACGCTTGGTTTGAAAGAAACAGAAGAATGGGGAGGGAGCTGGGTGGGAGTGGTGGTAAGAGTAGCCGCCCGAGATCTGGAAGGTGCAGTAGTAGTAGAGGTTGGTTTCTTAGGTGTCAGTTGAGGTTGACTCCTCTGCGAGGCCAAGGCTGGAGAATATCGGCGACATGGCGATTGTGGGCTCGGAGAACTTGATGTAGGGCTTTCCGTGGCGTTGCTGTGTGGTGATCGCGTGGCTAGGTTAAACTTGGATGGAGATCGCGAAATAGACCTCCTAAGGTCTCGGACTGCTGAGCTCACATCCACATGATGAACATGCGTTGGTGATGGCAGGGTTAAAGTCCCGCCACTGTTAGAGTAGGACATTGTTGTGGTATTTCCTCTGAGACAGTCCTTTTGTTATGCATTCACTCCAAAAAGGAGTTAATCTAGGCAATATAACCACTAGTTCCAGACAAAGGCCGTTTTTCAGACTGAAGCTTGGAAACTTGGTGGTCCTTAGATTTGGTGGATATATTTGGAAGCGCTGTGTCTTTGTTTTCGAGGACGAACAAGTTCTTTCGACTGGTTTTGTTCGCAGGAAGTAGGATGAGCGACAGCTGCTGTATGTAGGGCAAGTAACGGCGGCCCAAGTTCGAGGATGGGCGACAGACGGCAACAACGCCAAAACGACCAACGGGAGAAGGAGAGTAGATCCTATAGGCCAACGGCTCTCTCAAGTCTGTTGTCCAACGTTGGGTGGCGACATGCCCAAGGCCTAAATGGCGACGTGTTTTTTTTGTTGGATCTGAGGAGGCAGCAGAATTAAGGAGCGACACGACGAATAAGTCCAAAGGCTAGCTTAGTTCCAAAAAATGCTGATGCCTAAGATTCATCCAAAGATCGCTAATTCCGCTGACATTGGGCTATTTCGCAGGCCAGTACTTGAACAAGTGAGCGACCGTTCCAGCGCGCCACTCAGATCAACAGATGCCACAGGTAAAGGTGGCGATCCTATGCGCAGTATTTTCGATCGCGGTTCGGGTCGGTGGGAAGGCGGCGATCAGACAGAGGAAACAGAGGCGGCTCGTTCGAGAAAACCAGACTCCCTAATGCCACGACCACTAGAGACTTTCGAAACAAGGAAAATAAAAGACGAAGAAAAAGAAGGAAGAAAGAAAAAATGAATAAGAACGAATAGAGTGAAAGGATGAAACGAAGAGAAGATGAATCTAGGAAACAGTCACCGGAAGGAGAGGAAGTTGAGAGACTGCCAAGGGAAGGAAAAGATGGCGGGTGCAACTGTGGTGGCGGGAGGTCGTGAGTGCAAGGTTTCGAGAAAAAGAAGCACGGCGAACCAGAGCCAGAAGCAGAACCTCGCGTAAGTACGGAGAAGTGAAGTAGTAATGGGGCTTGGATGTTTGTATGCAGGCTGTTTGGGGTTGGGGCTGGAAAGAGTGGATTTGTTCGTTGGCAAAAGGGTAGTGGTCGGGGAGGGTACAAGAATACAAGACTACAAGCAGCGAACTGGGCCAGGGTGGGATTGTTTATTACCAGGGTCCAAAGTCAACACTCAAAAGGAAATGATCGCGTGGTTGACGCGTTTGGGCGCTTGGCCCGTGCTTTTCTCCGATGATTCACCATTCCATTATTCATCGATTCATGGGTGGCGTTGGTGGCGCCTGGTCACACTTGACAATTGACGAATTTAGTTGAGGATTTCTCCCGATTAGTTCGGGAAGTTGGAGAGCGACTGCCAAAGTGAGCGTGAAGTACGAAGTACTTCGTACTTTATAGTGAGACCACTCGCGAAGTACTTTGTAGCGTCCGACGACATGCAGCAGTAGGAAGGCGCTACTGGCATCCCACCGGGGACTATGACCCACGGGACAAGTACAAAGTCTTGGGTAGTTTTGAGTGTGGATTAGCGCTACGATGTCTCAGAAAGTTCAGAGTTTGAGAGCACGCACTGGCCGGCCGGAGTTACTAGACAAGGCATTCAGTGTTGTTGATCCCAGGTCTCATCATGCTAAGAGTCTAAGACAACAGCTACGTCTAAATGTTTAAGCTTGGGCGGACAAATCTTCGAGGATCGTCCGGCACGCCCTCGGTCTCGACGGCGGATCCAGGTTTTCTTCGTCCCATGTCATTGCTTTCTCTGATCTAACAACAATAAGTACACTAATACACTAATACACTGATACACTGATACCTACCTTGCAGGTACGAAGTACACACCGTTTAAAACGAGGATAGAAGCAGAAGTATTAGCGAAAACGAATATGCAACAGAAGAGGAGCCATCATCGTGTGTTTGAGGGACGAACCCACTTGCAAATGCCATCGCCTGAGACAATCTCAAGCCGAGGACCCTCAGAGACAAAGAGTCGATACCATGTCTTCCTTGTAACATCAAGCGGACTCCTCCCAAGAGTGTACATCCCGTCACTCCTGAGCCAAAAGTTTGAGATGTCAGCTGGGCATCTCCTCCTAACTATACTAGACTCTCCCGCAAATCTCCCCGCCGGATTGTCGACACTTTGTCCTTGGGGGCCCTTTGACAGCGTCGCTTCACCTGTGCTATCAAGTTCTTGAAGCGATACGCAAACCCCGCCAGGAACTACGTGAGCACTATACCCCAATTCTACTAGATTCATACACACCGCTCTGAATTTCTCCTGCATAATACATAGGAGAAGCGCCCCGATCGCCGCCCTTGTGCATATTACGAAGGAGAAGTGTCCACGTATGAAGCCAAAAAGGACTGTCCAGAGACTCCATCTAACTACTTCGTACTGCGAAGTACACCATGTACAAAGCCAACCGCCAACTGCCAGTGCAGCAGCCCCCTTAGCCCTTGCCCTTGCCCCCTTTGCCCCCTGTCCCTTTCCCACTATCCCAGGGACGCGGTTTAGGGGGGTTAGGATCATGCGCCCATTGAGCGCGCTTCCGCAGGGGTTCCTGGGTACCTACCCGTCTTCCCTGACCCTTCCTGACCCCTACTCCGTCAATCCCTTCCCTCAGGGTCTTTCCCAGAATGTCTCCTGCAGTATTGCTTCGTACCCTCTCCAGGCGACCATTCATCGTTGGCTAGCAACTCCATTCCAGAACAAAGAGGAATGGCCAGGCCCGGCAATGATGTCAGATGCGCAAAGAAGCTGTGTGCATCTCCAGAACAGTGTAGTATCTTCGAGCAGAGCCTCAACAAGGCAACGACAAAGAAAAAGAACATAGAAAACTCTGTATTGAAACAAAAAGGCGCAGGCTGGCGCCCCCGCCCTAACTCACAAGCTAAAGCAACCAACTGATCATCACCGGCGCCTTCCGTCGCCGTCCCTCGCCGTACCCTCCTTCTATTGAAGGATTCCGGCACAAAAAGAGAGTCTCCCGATGCCCCCTCCTTCCCCTCGGCTCTGCCTCGCCCAACACCATCGACGGAACGGAAAGAACGAAGAAGGATTTTTTCTCTTTTCCCTTAATATTCCCTCATCCGATGAGGAAGGAAATTACGCCTGACCCGTCCAGAGAAAAAAGCCCACAATTACTTTTTCGCACGAGATGAGGCCACCTGGGCCGAAGGTTGGGCAATTGCGAATTGCGACTGGGGGCGCAATTTTTTTCCCTCTTTTTTTTTTCCGGTTGGTTTGTCGCGTCGAAAATCAAAACAAACAAATGGGAATTTTTTTTTTTTTCCCTTGTCCCTCCCAAGCCTGAGCCCGGCAAGTGCTTGCGCCGCTCCCCCACAAACAATGAGCATTGATCAATTGATGCGTGCACTTTGGCCATTTTCTCCTTATCTCATCTTCAAGATCGGCATTGCCATCTAATCTGGGCTCATCTCCATGTTCCATGGACTAGAAGCATTGATTGATCAAATAATATCATTTCCGCCCGACGCCCGCCATTGGAATTACTTGCTTATTACTTTTTCATGCCCGTTTCTCCATTCTCCCCGTCCCTCTCCAATCCCCGTAGGCTTCCCAGGCTTCTCCATACCCAAAGGCACCAAGCACCGTTGATTCCGAGCCTTCCTTGCTTATGCATCCACTACAGAACCAGAGGTATCCCTGCTCCTCTGCAAAATGACCCTTGTAAAGGTTGCCTATAATACGAACGGTGCACTTCGAAAAGGGAACAGGAAGGGAAAGAAGAGAAGGAAAAAAACAAGAGCCTTCCTGGCTTGGCCCCATTCCGACTGACCCATTGCGACCCATTGACAAGTCCGCGGGAAACGCCGGTGCGGACGCGACGGTAAGCAAAGGACCACACTAAACCTTTCCATGCTTGCTTGCTTCAGCACCAAGGAACGCGCACTTCCATTTTGAGCCCTTCCCCAGCTCCAAAAAAAGAAAATAACAACAAAAATAACGGCCCGGCTTTTCCCTCTCCCCGCGAGGGTTCCCCTTTAGAGATCTGGATGTGTTATTGGTCGTCGACAGATCTTCTTCCCGCTGCTGCTGCAAGGTACGGTGCTACTCTACCCACACGAAAACGGGCATGCCGTCTTGGGATGAAACTTTAACCTCGTTCCGAACGAGAAAAAGGTAATTTGGGAATGGCGCATCACCTTATTTCTTTTTCGCTTTTCTTGACGCCGAGATGACGACGAAGAATAGAAAAAAAAAAAACGTTTCAATTAGCTTTCTTAGAAACCAAAGGTTCTTCCTGCGTTGCACTGCCAACGTCAATGTCAACGTCAACGTCTAAGTAAATAGTAAGTAAATAGTAAATCTGTTCCAGTTAGACATATGACAATACGACACCATCAATAGCGGTGGAACAAGAAAATCCATCCCAACTTACACACGCTGAGCCACCTTTTTTTCTGCCATTTCGTGGGCCGCCGTATAAGTTTAAAACAATCCAGAAAAACCGACAACCATAGGCGCAGTGTGGTTCAAGTCAAAAACGAAAGTGTCACAGCCCAATTCCATGTCCATCAGCTGCTCTCATCTGAGACTTCTATCAGTCTCTAACACACACTGATAAACAGACAACAAAGACAGGTTTCCCCAGTCTTCACTTGTGAGCGGTAACCGTAGTAGCACAGCAGATCTCATCTGCACACTAGAGACGGCTCCACGGAGAAAAAAAAAAAAAAAAAAAAAAAAAAAAAAAAACAAGGAACGCCTTCTTTTCCCCATGAGTCCCTGTTCCCCGCCCCTTTGCTCCTTTGGTAGTCTCTTAGTGTTGTAGTTTAGATTTCTCTCTCCCACCTCGGCGCAATACTACGAAGCCGTATGAGCCGCCCATCAAAACAAAGGGCGCGGGGAGAAAGAACAACGAATGTCCCGATTCGCGGCAGAAAGGCTCTGCTGCTTTCTTTGCCTAAGAATAACCCCGTTGTTTTATTTTTCGTAAGGATTGTCTAGTCTCAGCTGTCCGTTTCTGTCACTGACAAGTCCTTCTTGTCTTTCTTTATCTCCTCGCTCCTCCTCATCATAGATCCCGACGGCCAGCCATCCCCGTCGGTCCGTCTATGACAAAGGCATAAATGTCCGGGTATTTCCCATCCTCATACATAATATCTCATTAAAAACAAGGAAAGTGGAAAGGAAAAAAGGAGAGAGAAAAAAATGACAGCGCCGAACAAGGGAAGGACAAGGCGGAAAGAATCATGGGCTAGAACACGCCGGGAGACACATCATCTGAGACTCCACCTCAGACCTCTCTCCATTGTTCTCACTGTCCCCTGGTAGTAGGCTTGAATCATGACAGCCTGTCGTTGTCGAAGTGACAAGACATGTCAGTGCGACATTTGAACAATGGGCTGAGCATGACCAGACATGGGAAGCCAAAGAAAGGATCTACCCCTCTATCTCCCCCCCCTTCTTTCTCGATAGCGCCTATCCGCAATCAACCCGAGTGCGCACCCATTCGCACCACTGGTCAATATCCTCCAACACCTCAAGTGCCCGGCCCAGACTCTCCACAGGGATCGCCTTGCCCTTGCCCTTACCCTTGGTCTCTGCCGCTTCTCCTCCTTCCACCACAGATCCCGCATCTGGGACGATATTTTGAGAAATCACCAGCATCTTTCCGTTGGGTCCAATCTCAAGCGTGATATTAGCCGTTGTAGATTGTAAAGGAAATACCACCTGAAGCCGCGGTGCAGGGTGAACCGTCAACGTCACGTCGATGGAATCGACGTTGAATTTCTCCTCGGCCGGGCTTGACGGGCCTTCACGTTCCGCAAACGCATTTAGTTCCTGTTTCTTCGGCACCGTCCTTGTTGACAGCACCTCGGGGCTACCGGCCGTCTCCCCTGTCTTGGAGGGGGACTCCACCGCCGCACCATTTAGCGCCGTCCTGCTGTCACCAAAGCTTCGCCGCAGTAGTGTCGAGAGTAGTGCGTACTGTCTGAGGTTGGGGAGTAGTGAGATGAGCTGCTTCGGGTGTGAGAATGGTAGCTCTGATAGCGTCTGGCCGTACACAGGTTTGTAAATGTAAAGAGTGTTCTTGTGTTTCTTCGTGCTCGTTTGCCCCTCTTTTGAAACGCACACGATCTCCCGCTGGTACTCGATCGTCCTCGGCGCGCTGGGGTCGTGCGCTTCGGTCGACGGTGGGATCGGGAAGTACAGACTATCAAACGTAGGGTAAGCATAGAGGGGCGGAGGCTGCGCCCCTACAAGCTCGTACATCTGGAGCCAGACGGGCTGGGGCAGGATAACTGAGGGCTCCAATAACGCCTTGAAGATGACCTCGGGATATTTCAAAGACATGTCCACCGACGAGTCCTTGTTCTCCTCGGGCGGCGGAATCACCGTATTCTCGGGTTCTAGCCAATCCAGAGCAGGCCCAGTCGTCGCGCTGAGAACGTCTTCGGCGCTAGGATCCTCCTTCTCAATCTTGGGAGAAATCCAGCTTTCTGAAATCCTGACCGGAGGGTATATCATCTCACCCATGGGCGCACAGGTTATTAGGAGCGACCACACCCCCTCGTTCTGTTCGACGAACTTTTCGGCTTGCGTGTTCTTGGGGGGAACGCAGTGCCGTTGTATCCAGTAATCTAGATTTAAACCAACGCGATTCCTCGCATGCATGACGGGGTACCCGTGCCTATGACAGGTCACCATGTTGTGAACGTACCTCTCTCCCTTACCGGCGTGTTCCGCGCGTAGCTTCTCAAGGTCGTAGTGGTGAATGCGCTCCAAACTCGAACACATCCCCGCTAGTGCTTCCTGCAGGTCCAAACCAGGTATCACGCTAAGCTTGTCCAAATCCGCGAGCCTCGACAGGTTGGCGTAAAAGTCGTCGAGCTTCTTCGTCAGCGGGTTCTGGCCCGGCCGCAGTTCGAGATCTCTCATGAGTATGGCCGTCGCCCGCCCGACGCGTTCTATCACGATCGGCGCGGACAAGGGAAACGACAGCGCCACGTTACGGACGATGTTATTGTCTATCGAGATGTCGAGCTGGAGGGCTTTGCCCGCGATGACGAGCATCTTCATCTTTTGGCCGCCCGGTGCCGTGTAGGTATCCCATATGCAGTCAAGTCCTATCCGCTGCACCAATCTCTCGAGGCCCTCCTCGCTAACGTAACCTTTCTTCTGCTATACAAAGGGCGCGAAGCTGTTAGTGTCGGGGGTAAGAAGCGCAAACAGGAAGATCAAAAGCGGGGAGGAAAAGACTAACCGACAGGATACCAATTATCGCATCCAGCCTCTTCAACCTTTCATCTTCACCCCCCAGCACACCAAGCCCATGCAATCCAGCTAGCCCCCCCACCCCAACATTATCCAGTCCCATATCAAGTCCATTCGCGATACCGAGCGATCCCATCGCCGCCGCGGCCGACGGGCTATCAAAGTTCAGAGGTCCCGCGGACCCATGCCCGGCAAGCGTTGTCGCCGGCGACTTCTTAACCTGCTGCGGTGACGATCTGGGCCCTCGCGGCGAGAATACACCCTGCACGCCGGAGAGGGAGAAGGGAGTCGAGACTGGAGGCGAGGCGGCGACCTGCGGGGTCCTCCCTTGCTGCGACGCAGCGGTCTTGCCGGGCGTCGGGGTAGCCATGGGAGGAGTGCCCTACAGGGGCGGTAGGTACAAATCGTATCGTCCGAATCGGGCAGGCTGCTCGGCCTTGGTCGTCAATAATGGAGCTCCTTCGGTAGGTATTGAAGGCGGAAAAACGACAACTATTATCGGGGTCTGCGCAAATATCGTTGGGAAAGCCGTCCTCGGTGCGTAGTAGAACTATTCAGTCCTAAATGGATACCAGGAACGTAATGCGAAGGTGTTTCTTTGGTGTTGAAACGAGCGTACCACTGGGCCAATTCAATGATGAGGTCGTCGCGAAGGAACAATTCAAGGCACACACCAAAGAACCAAGCTTCCCCAACCTGGAAAGCTAGTTTAGCCGGATCTCAGCCGAGCCATCATCCAACTTCGTCGCTCGATTTGCATTCCCGCTCGCCTTATTCTTTCCCCGTCTCAAAGTTCCTAAGAGAGATCAATTATTCGAAACGGATCCAGATCAGATACGTTAAAACTTCTACGGTACTCAGCATCTAGGTAGTCGATGCCTATGTTAAACTTCACTCTCAGATCAAACACAAAATCGAACGAACCAGCGCGAAGTATGTGATAGCAATGGTTTCTCTCGCATGAATGTCCATCTTCCACAGCCGAGTCCCATGCCAGCCAAAGCAGGGCAAGGTTAAGCTGTATAGCGGAATACAATAAACTATGCACTCCGAATTCGAATGGACAAGCCAGGACACCCTCCAATAGGCTTGATGCAAAGCACAATTCCTCGAGGAGTAGTAACGCCCAACGCCCCCCAAAACTCTCCAACGGATAACGCCGTCTCTCCAGTCCGACCCAAGTTTGCTGCTCCCCCTTCTTGCACGACTCCTGGGACTGAAGTAGAGTGTATCCTTGACTCCGGATGTACCATAATCCTGATCTAAGTAATAATGTTGCCCAATTCTCAAATCATCCAACGATGCCAAATCCCCGTAACCCATGCAAGTGCAGAAAACTCCATGCTGACCGTTAATAATGCGCCGCCGAACGAAACCACCAACTCCCACCGTTTCCTCTCCGAAACGCCCGGTATAGACAACGTGTAATGACGGGACTTTGTAAGGTATATCTCCAGCCCGCAAAAGACATCGGTCCTAGCCAAATTGCTTGCGTGAGTGTGTGTGCAAATTTACCCTTCACTCCTCACACCCATTCCCCGCGTGCTTCCCTCCAGCGGCTTCATGAATTCGCTTTCTTGTTTTCCGGGGACTTCCGGAGAGTCCTCTTTGCCTACGGATGCCCTTGGCGGGCCTCGGCCTCGGTAAGCCCTCCTAGCTTGTCTCGCTTTGCACTCGAGAGCATAACCGGGTTCGTTTGCCTTCCTCCATTCGATCCATTCCTCGTATGCCTGCTGGCCACGAGCGTCCGGGAAGCGGGGCTTCGGCATAGGACCGGGAGGTACCTGTGACAATGCCGGTGGGAGGATGCGAGGCAGGCCCTTCAGGGCTGGGCTGACTGGAACAACGGGGCGACGGTTAGAACAGCTAGTCCAAGGGCACCCCAGGTGTCTGTGCTGGCAGGAATGCGGTGGGTGTGCTGCGTGAAGTCCACACATGCCACCAAACCCGGCAACTGGACTGGGGGCACTGAATCCGGGCTTCAGGGTCGGCAGAGTAGGGCTGCACATCGGAAGCACAGGAAGGGGTGATGCCGTGCCATATACCTGCGCAAGCAGGGCGGCCAGGCTCAGAGGTGGCGGGGCTAAATTCCCGTCGTAAAGGCTAGCCAATCCAGGAGTCAGGGGGAGGAGTGGTGTTGCCGGGAATTGAGGAATATCTGCCGGCTTGGCACCATTACCTCCGCTGCCGACACAGCGGCCCAAGCCATTAAGTTTCGGAGGCGCCACGGGAGTCTGAATATCCTGCCTTCCTACCTTGACACCGAATCCCGAGCCGGTTCTTTTCAGCGGAGGACGGAACTCTTCGGCTTTGGGATTCAAGCTTCGTTCCTTGGTGGGAATTTCCATGTCAATGCCTGAGTCCTTGGGCTCTCGTGGTTTCGGAGCCAGCTGCTCGGGGCTTGCGGTTGCTTCTGGGCCGGGCCCAAGAGGGACCCTTTCAGAAGCACTGCCTCGGTCGCTATGAGGAGCATATTTCCTGTAGATCAAGTCCTTATACTCGTTGAATCGCCGAGTCCAAGCCACGAGTGTCTCTCTATCCCAGGTACTCAAGGGTTCAGAGCGACCCGTAACGGGATCCTTCCATTCCTTGATAAGTTTATCGCACTTCTCCTCGGCTGACTTCCGGAGCTTTCCAAGCAGGCCCTCGAATCTCTCCGCTTCATCCTCGCGTTTGGCGCCCAGCGTAGGAGACTCCAGAATCGCTATTGATCCCTTTTCGCCTTCGGGGCTCAGCTGGGGGCTCGGCTGGTCTTCAATCTGTGACTCGTCAACTTCCTCAATGGGATAGCAGACTCTATTGCTCTGCGCCGCCCTATCCAGCGACACGCCGATCTCCACAAGAGGGAATGACTCGCATGCGCAGGTACCGCCCAAGTCGTCGTGGTGTTGACAAACTACTTTTCCATCGGGACTCAAAGTGACTGGGAGAAGCTCAATGATATCGAGCTTGTCGCGTGCTACCGAGTCGACGCGGCCGCTCAGTGACGCCACACTCGCGCACCCGTGGCTGATGAGTCGTGCTAACGCTGGGTGCCTCTCAACTGGAGAGGTCTCCGGCGTGCGGTCGAGGTCTACTGCTCGATCCACCCTAGCGTAGGGCGAATTGATGGCAGCCGCCTGCTCGACTTGGACGACGACGACATCTGGTGACTTCTTATCCTTGCCCAGAGACGCTGTACCCTCGGATTGCATTGACTCGGGAGTCCCAGCCTCTTCATTGGATGAAAAGACATTCTCCGGCGAGGGTTCGTCCGAGTTACTCTCCGGACTATTGCCATCATTGGGCACCGCCATCGTACTTCGCCAGTTGTCGCTAGCAAAAGCCTCGCTTGGTCTGTCGTGGTGGCCATGAGCTGGGTCCGGGAACCCCATCTCCCTTCTTGTCACCGGAGCAGAGTTGATCTGCTCAAAGGGGATCTTCCGGGCATTAGAGAAGTCGGTGTTAATCCTCAGAGTCGGGATGATCGGGTAAAAAGCGGGCGTGGGCTGTTGCTGGGTAGAAGCCATTTTGACACCTAACGAAACGAATCTCATGAGCTTTTTATAGCCATAAATAAGTAATGGGTGATTTGAGGCAGAAGCTCTATCGTACCTGGAAAGTGGATGCCCTCCGGGACCGCGTGTATGATACAGCCGATTAGTAGTAGAAACTGAGGTGTAAGTGGACTTCCTGGCGCCGGCAATCCTAGATCCTAGCATCGTTTAGTTGATCCATCCGTTCCCATTCCAGGAGGACATGACGTTAGATGACGATTCACATACCTCTCTTATTGTTCCGTTTCGGGAAAACTCTCGTCAAAACAGATACCAGGACACTCTCTCCATTCAAAGCACTACTTCAATCGAGCGAGCTGGTGACTCGTCCTGAACTGGTCGCTGAAACGCTTTCGAGATGTGGATTTGCTGAAACGGTTTTTCTTTTTTAGGACAGTGAATAGTAAGATCTGTGTCTCTGAATGATGGCTCTTCGGTGTGCTCGATGCAAGTAAGTAAGAAAGATGGAAACCGTAGAGGCTGTGATGAAGATGGCCAAGGAAAGTAGTGAAATCAATAGGAAGGGAAATGCCATGCTATTGCTATCAGCATTCCCCAAGGATCTCTGGACCTTCTCCATTGTGATCCCGGCTCATCCCTCCTTCTACCCTCAATATCAGAGGTCCATTGTGACGTTCGGATTCCAGGAGTAGATAGGTGCGATCTATAGGATAGAATCATGAATGGCAAGAGTTATGGTTGACTGTGACCCCAGCATAAAAGCATAACATCAGTGCACATCAGTCAGATACATGAAGACCATGCATTGCAAGAACAGGACCCAGGTTCTCTGTTCCTGCTTTTATCAGCCTATGTATCTTTCCTAGTCAATATCAGTGTTCTTGGTCAAGGTTGTGACTGCATGTTGGAACAATTAAAGCTAAGCTGTCCTCTGTGGTGGGAAGTGGGAATCACGACTGAGCCTTTCTTACAATGTTATATGTACTTTCTTCCCGACCCAAAGCCAGAAGCTGGAACCCATCCCCAGCATCTCCTCCCCAACAACCAACACCCCAACGTGTCAACTCTTTATTGTGTACATGCTCACCTTGAAGGCCTCATGATAATACAGTTGGTCAAGCCATTTTGATCTCAAATCAATACAAGCAAGAACGCCAAGTAGTATACAAGTTATGCTGTTAAGCTATATGTAAGTTTGTTCTCTCAAGATCTAGGCAAATAATTTGATCCTCTCTACTCCTCCCTAAATCCTACACCCCCTAATGGATACAGACAGGCCAATTCATGGTTTGTCAGACTTGCGCCTTCGCTTAGTCTCCAATCAGACCCTTGGCCTCTTCCGCCAGAATTTGTACATCGCCACCGGCTGCCTCTACAGCTTTGATGGCTACCTCTCCTAGTCTCCGCCTCCGTTCAAGCTCCTCCTTCTCCCTCTTGGCTTTTGTCTTGGAACTTCCGCTTGGTGCTACTCCAGCCATCAAAGTCTGCTTATCTTGAGGCGTGAAGTTGACAAACCCTATTCCAGTTAAGCCAGCGGAGAATCTTGTTTCGGATCGAAGTGATGCCTGCCTTTTCCTAATAGTTTTGTCTCCAGGGAATCCGGAGACGGATCGGCTGTAAACCGACTCGTTGGACCGATGGTGTCGGAGCGAGAGCGACGGGGACGAAGGAGGGCTGATGCTTGGTATTTTTCCGAGGCGAGTCGGCATGGATTCCGTATATCGAGGCGCGCAGGATGTTGTTCTGGACCGTAGTCGGCGCCCTGGGGTGAAATGCGAGGACGGAGACTGTGGCATTGTTGCGGCAGATAGGGCCAAATTTTGAACCATGCCGGACTGATCAAGCGTCGATCGTGGTGTATGAATCATGGAGT